TTGTTTGTCGTTTCTCTGATCACAAATGCAGACATGGTTTTATGTGTCAACGCAACGCACGCAACGCATAAAAGACAGTATAAGTCATTATAATCTGTAATTATGTCCCCACTGGATGCCTCGTTTGTTTTTTGAATCATCGCTCCGGCCTGACAGGGCATCATCACAATATGGCAAGGGGCGTAACATTTTCGTCACGCGCTTGATGTATTCGGCCAATCATAACGCACTGGATAGCTGGCCAATCACAGCACACCTTGCTTTTCAGACCGATGAGCTTTGTAAAAATCGACGCGTTTCAAAAAGGCGGGGCATAGAGGAGAAACAATGATGTACAGTATGTGGAAAATAATGTGTTTTTTTAACCTTAAACCGCATAAACACATTTCATTACACCAAATACACAAAATAATGTTCTTTTTTAGCAACGTCATATGACCCCTTTAAAAAAAAATCTTACTGACCCCAAACTTTTGAACAGTAGTCTAAATGAAGATAAAAATATAAACCAATAGATGTCCATGTTCTTACCAGCTCTTCCTCACTGTTCACAACCATCAAGTGTGCCCCATGGTCTTGGCATAAAGACTTTGATAATTCCCATGTCCCATAAACATTTACTATCAAATAACAGGTGTTCATATATGAAACCCAACCATCCGAGCAGAGCCCTGTATTTAAGAGAACAAAACACACGATTACATACCAAACTTGCTTACCAATGTAAAAACTGTTTATAATTATAATATGCCAAATGCATTCATTTTTAAATGTTTTTTTTTTTACATTTCTTACCTCTATCACCTTTGTACTGGAATGGGATAGGTGTTATATCATCAGAAAGAAGACCCCTGGTCTGATCCTCTTGTGAATTATTCTTGACTAGAGTATGTTAAATTAAAAACAAACCAGTTACACAACCATTAACCCATAAATATGTTCTGAGACATTATAAATCTGACTTACAGTTGAGACCTGTTACGATTCCTATTACCAAGAATGAAAGGAGGAGGAGAACCGTGAACATGACACAAGCCACTTTGCCTGAAAATTACAGTAAATAAACAAAAGTCGACAATCGGACATATCAAAAGTAAACATATATACATTATATATATATATAATAGATGAGCTTATGTAAAGCTTATATTAAATAGCATAAGATACCACTGTTTTACTGGTCATTTAGCTCACATTTTGTATTTAAAGCAATATATTATGCAATTAATAAATGCCTGATGGACTGATAGGCGCTGATGACATGTCTTTTTCATTTAATAGATAACTCCTACCTGGACTTGAAGCTTTTAACCAGTGTATGAGCAGCCAACACCCATAGCCACTGTCTCTGCTATAATAAGCTATGATACTTCTTTACTTGCCTTGCTGGTAGAAGGGATCCACCCTGTCAGGATTTCCCTCCACATTATTTGAGAGTTTGTTGGACTGCATTCCTTGAGGTCAGCCTATAGCCTGATTGTAAAGACAAAAATGTAAATCTGAAAATGCACAAGACAATGCCACTTCAACAAAGTTCTCTAAAATACTAGAAGTTCAAACACATAGCAATAAATCCGTTACATTCAATGCAAAAGATGCATAACCGTTATGAGCATACACACATAAACAATGAGAAAACACTCTGAATTACAGTTGTTTCATCTAAAGAAAACTTAAACTTACTGATCAACTTGTTCCCTTGCAACACATAGAGTTTTCCATGGCACAACAAGGGAAGTGAAGACTGTGTGGAATGGCAGGATGACGCCAGAGGGGCTGGTCCTCTCCACCCAGCCAAACCAAAGCTTGGGGTTTTCTGCCAAGAACATCAGCTGCCAGAAATGCATGACAAAGTAGCTATAAAATATAAATATGTTAGTGGTTAAGTCAGAAAAACAACTGTGCATGAGCTCTTCGCATGCCTGTTGGCTTTTTAAAGTTACACATGTCAACTCTAATCTAAAATAAATGCAGCAGCATGGCATATAAAGTGTTCCAATCCAAAGGAAATCTCATATATTATGTTATGTCAGAGAATGCAAATTCTAGCTCGGTCTGTGTGAGTGAATAGTTTCATCGAACGAGTCATTCTACCGAGTGATTTTTGCCCACTCGAAGGTGCGTTCCGATTGACAGGGTCCCTACTCAGTGTTCACTGCTCCCTATTCCCTAGGCACGGGATATCCGTTGAAGTGGACTTAGCTGACAATAATTAGGGATGGGCGGATCGATCCTCAAGTATCGATACTTTCGATACTGATGTTGTATCGAAAGGATCGATCCTCACATAAAAATATCGATTCTAAAGTGCATTTTTAACCATTAATTTTATTTATTTATCAAGAAATTTGGTGCATAAAAAAGCTTCTAAGTATATTAGCGAAGTAGATTTTATGAAACCATTGCCACATTATTACATTAGCCTACATAACATTGTTACTATATATAAAATTAATTCTGAAAAATGCATCACGGTTTCCACACAAATATGAAGCAGCAATAATAATAAATGTTTCTTGAGCAGCAAATGATATTAGAATGATTTCTGAAGGATCATGTGACACTGAAGACTGGAGTAATGATGCTGAAAATTCAGCTTTGATCACAGATGCATTTTAAATTACATTTTAAAATATATTAAAATAGAAAATAGTTATTTTTAATTGTTATATTTCACAATATTGCTGCTTTTACTGTTTTTTTTTTTTTTTTTTCAAATAATTGCAGCCTTGGTGAGCATGAGACTTAAGAAAATATGACAAAATCTCACTGACCCCAAACTTTTGTGTACATGTAATATTTATTTTAAATTGGCTAGTTTGTGCAAGTAGATTTATTTAAACTTGAAATGTTAAAAAACATGGCTTTAAAATCTAATATTAAGTGAGTATAATTACTGATTATATTCTTTTAATAATTTAAAAGATCAGTTTAGTTTAGAGTTATCGGTATTGATATCGACGATACTGGGCTTGAAAATATCGGTATCGGATCGAAAATAAAATAAGAGGTATCGCCCATCCCTAACAATAATTGCTTATTTGGAACGCCCTGGAACGTCATCAAACAAAGGCAACGACGGGGTCATGCAGATTATTATATAACATAAATAAATAGCCTATTGTAATTTATTTTACTTTCAAAATTAAATACATACCCAATTATGTATCTAATAAATATAGTCAAAATTTACATGTTTAGGCTGTTAACAGATTGTAGTGGTTTCATCTCACGCGCAGCTTCATAGTAACTCTCCTGAGGTAACGTTAGTCCTAAATAAAGTAAAAAAAATAAATAAATAAATGACAGAGCCTCAGCTGTTTCTCGCCGGTTTTACTTAGTTTCACCTGTTCATACAATACAATATGCAAATCTAACATTATCCGCCATCAACAACATTTACACATTAACATTTATTGTAACCCCTCCATTGCAGAGCCTTTACAAAACTCTGAACTGAATTAGTGACCTAATGTAGGGAATAGTGAATGAGGGTATAGGGGGCGATTTCGGACACAGCCTGACTGTCGCTTAACCAATAGTATTTGAGTGAGGACTGTGAAGGCGCATTTCATTGGTTGGTTTTACTAAGTGAACACGCCCCCTTTAGTCGACATTTTGAGTCAGAAGGAGAGTCAGTCGAAGCAGCGCAGCAACATTCGTGCGTGAATGAACTGAATGAACAAATCAGAGGCAAGTTGGAGCTAAACTCTGCAGGACACCGGCCCTCCAGGACCGAGTTTGGGCAGCCCTGGTTAATGAGGATCTGCTCTGTTCGTTTAGCTCGTCATTGTGAGTCAATTTTATTCACAACAAGAAGACAAAAAAGAAGGAAGAATTATAAAAATTACTGATTAACATAATTAAAATAACATAAATGACATGAACACAATTAAAATGGCATAGTATCTTTGTTAGAACGTATAAATCACTCTGCTGTTTTGTTTAATGAATCGTTTGAGTCAATGATTTGCTCACTTGTTCACTCAAAAACACGCATTTTCGCCACCTACGACCTGATGATCCTGATCGATTAATCTTTTCAGCGGCTAGATTCGAAAGATTCGAGTCACTCCTCATGAATCAAAACCCCCAACACTAGTCAGACAGAGCCGTTGTCGGACCTCCCCGTCACCAGATGGCGGGCGCGTCAAGCACCAGCACCAGCCTTAAAGCTTCTTCCGCCGCTGTTGTTCCAGTCTCCGCAAAAATGGCCGCGGTCGGACGTTTATCCCAGAAGCTCCTGAAGTCAGCTGGGCTGACCCAAACCCGTCAGCTTTCGGCTGCAGCAGCAGCTCACGGCGAACAAGCAGGTCAGTAACCAGCTCTAAATAGCCCAAAACAGACGCCGAACTAAAAAGAGCAACCGTTACGAACAGCCGGAACTCTACCTTTTGACCTTGTGGATGTGACGCGAATGGCTGATTAATGTGGTTCTGTCGTTGGCATAGACTGCAAAATAGAAGTTCGTTTAGACTTTTGTGTAGTAATGATGAATGTTAATCACGTGTCAATCAGATTTGTTTGTAATATGTCTCTATTTCTGATATATGTTCATGTAGCCAAGACCTGGAAGATCCTGTCATTTGTGGTGGCGCTGCCTGGAGTCGCGGTGTGCATGCTGAACATGTACCTCAGGGCTCAACAACACAGCCATGAGCAGCCGGAGTTCATTCCCTACAGCCACCTGCGCATCCGCAGCAAGGTGAAAACGCTCACCCTTTACACGAAAAACACCTTTAAAGCGTCTACAGGAGGAGTCTGGTGGGAGTTTGTGTTGTTTAATTAAAAGAAAGTGTAAAAGTTCAGTGAAGTCTGGTCATTTGCAATTTTGAGTCAGGTTTGTTTTTAAATATTGTAAGTATTGAATTTTAAATGTCTGTTTTACTTGTGGGGTTTTGTTTTATTACTTATTAACATTGCAAACACACTGTCATTGGTCTTGAAGATCAAAGTCATTCAAGATCAATGGGTTGAAAACTAAAGTATTTTGGTTAGCTAAAGCTGAGCATCACATTTAAAAGCCAAGAAACATGTTTTTTTTGTTGTCTTCCAAGTAAAATAAATGTAGGAATTGCTGGTTTATCTGACATTGGAGACCTGTGTGTGCTGTGATACCTTAGAGCAGTGTTTCCCAACCTTTTTTTAGTCGCGGCACCCTTTGGAAATTAACAAACTTGTGGCGCCT